AGACATTCTTCAAATACAGTCAAGCGTAAACTCATTCTGATACTTTTATCAATAGTATTGTGGATGGCATCTATAAGCCCATCTCCGCCGACATTTTGTCACCTCTCCGAATGGCATATTTAAGCCCATTCAAGTAATATTACCAACCAAATATTACTTCGTGCACATGCGAGTACAAATTTCTGGGCACTTAAGTGTTCAATCCTCTTCCACCTTCAGGTCACGAATGGCAGGCATGCCAATCTAACTCTTCAGGTTTAAGAAGATTGAACAGGGGAAACTGTTGTACCCCAAAAATATTTCCTCCCATTTTCTTCAAGACATCTCCTCATGCTCCTAGGGTTTATAATTGCTCAAGGTTGCTCAAGAATTGATCAGACAAATTCTCCTCCTAAGCAATGGATCTACAACTAGGGTTTCACTTTACTCAAGGAATATTGGGTTTCTAATACCTCGGGTGGATTTCATGGTTCCTCATATGTCTCAAGGAATGCTCCCAAGTTTCAAGCCTTGCATCACAAGTTTGCTCAGTCAATTGCTCAGATGACTGAAAATTAACTATATTGGACAAAAAGTCATTTATGGTCAACATATAGTCAAACCTCAATATTTTTGGTCAACATCAAGATTTTGAAGTCATATTCATAATTTGATCAAGGGTTGATCATAATTCATCAAGAAAACTCAAAATTCATCAAAAGTCAAAAGTTACCAAATTAGGGTTTTCTTAAGGAGAAGTCAACTGAACTTTGACCAAGCATAACTTCCACATGCTTCATCAGTTTTCCTTAACCAAATCTTATTTTGAAGGAAATTCAATTCTCTACAACTTTGTAACTTTAATCTCAAGTCCAAAAAATGCTTTATTTGAGAGATATGGGCCAATACATTATAGGTCATTTCAAAAGTCAACAAAAAGATACTTTTTGTCAAGGCAACTTACATTAAGATAAAGTATTCAAATGCAAATATGATCAAACTATAGATTGTAGAGGACATCTTGAGCTTTCCAAAACGTCAAAGATCACCTTCAAGTGATAAAAATTGAGAAAGTTATGATTGGTACAAGTTGGGAAGTTTTAAGCAAATGCATGAAACCAAAAGTGACCAAACTTGAATTTTTGGGCTAACGAGCTGATGTTTCAAGGTCCATACGTGTTTTGAAACTTATAGTGAACCTCAGGACTTGTTCATACACCCCTTGGTTTTTTATTTTATTTATTCTTGATTTTATTTGTTTAAAATTCAAAATAAATGAAATAAAATAAAAGCTCTTCTTACAAAGGTCCAAGCCCAAATGGTTTGACCTAATTCATCCTTATTTACAACCTCAAGATTTCAGACAAGAGGACACGAACCCTTGCGTAAAAAACCTCTCCAAATAGGAATGGAAACGGGACAGGTCGGGGGCGGGTTTAAGCACACCCAGACCCGCACCCGCCATCTAGACCCAGACCCGCCCCCGCCCCCAAGCCCGGTCGGGGTTAATATTTGTTCCCCTGCCCCCGCCCCCAACAAAAACGGGTTTCCCAACACCCGCCCCACACCCGTCCAAATAAAATTTTTTATTTTTTAAAATTTATACTTTTTTTCAATAAAAATAAAAAATCAATAATTAAACTAAATAATGGATTATTTTAAAATCATTTTTTATGTTTTCTATTTTTATTTAAATTTTATTTTCAAAAAAATAAATAATAATTCTAATAAACAAGATATTATAATATTAAAAAGTGTAAATGAGTAATAAAACTATTAAAAAATAAATTAAATTTAGTTGGCGGGTGCGGGTGCAGAGCAGGTACTAGCATCACCCGCCCCTGCACCAGTAAATAAAAATCGGGTTTTCCCTGCACCCGCCCCCGCCCCCGATTAAACCAGTTTTTCCCCGCTAATTTTTTGAGGCGGGGGCAGGCGGGGGCGGGTTTATTTGCCATACCTATCTCCAAAATTCCAAAAATATCAAAGAACTAGGGAAACTTGTAAGCCCTAATTTTTATCACTCTCAAGGCAAACCAACCTTGCCATTCACTTCCAGAAGTACTGTAGGGTAAGTAGGGATCGATTGTGATGATCCAAGAGGCCTGAAATACATGGACACACATCGCCCATTTTATATTCTTGCAGGAATTTATATTTCTTTCTTTCTTTGTGTATTAATTCATACTAACATCTCTAATGCGTTTCTGAGGTTTAATAGTGTAGGAATAACCCATCGTGTGAGCCTCATGATGGTTGAATCGTGAATGACCATACTCATACCGATTTGATTTATCTTCTTCATATCTCACAAACCAACAAGTTTTAGACAAAAATAACACTCATATTGAACTCGCAGGGCTTGATTTAGGGGGTAGGGATCCTTTGGATCGCTAACAATTGTTGTTTTTGCAGGTTGGAAAAAAGGCTCACTGGAGAAGACAATCGGAGTTAGGGCTCATGCGCCTCTCTGGTCCAAGCAATGGTTTTATTACATATTTATTTTGTTTCGCTTATATCATTAGATGTACAGCTATCCCAGTGGCAAGGAAGCGCGTGTTAAGGCATTACTCTACAAAGACGTGGGTTCGATCCCTGCCTTTTGTTCTTTTTTTTATATATTTTCTAATTTTCACAAATTACATGCAGCGCTCTTCATATCATCAACCATGTACCCTTTCCCTACAGTCACATGATCATCATCAGCCAATAGCAATGTCCCAGATGCGCAAGCACATGGTGGACCTCATGGAGCGACCACACTGGATCCAACACTAGGACTAGTGCGCCTGGACCACAATTGCAATTCACCCCCTATTTTCTGTATCAGACCCAAACTCTTTTTCTTATATTTCTCTCTTTTTCTTTTAATTATTTGTTTTTTTTACTATTTAATTAAAATACCAAAATATTAGTTTTAGGTTAAAATTAATTAGGTTTAGTTTTAATCACCCTTTTTTAAAATTAATTTATCTAATTAACTTTCTAAATTAAAATTAACTAGATTCTTAGGGTTTTTTTTATTAAATTAATTGATTTTATTTTCAAAATTAATTAGGTTTTTAGGTCTATTTAATTAATTAATCACAAATCATTTTTTCATAAAAATTTATTACCAAAAATCTTTTCTTTTCTAATTTCACATTTTTAGATCGACTGTATGCGTAATAGCTAGCTTTATTTCCCGCTTTCTTTTCCATTATCATGTAACTTCTTCAGAATGTAATAGTTATAGGTTTTTACTTTTCTCCCTCTACTATTTTGTATCTGTCCCAAAGTCGTGTAATAGGTTTAGGTTTATCTTTCTCGCCTTTACTTTCCGCACCTTTACTGTCTTTACTGTATTTATCATTTACTGCTTAGTAACTAGGATTGTATGGCAAGACTAAAAACAAACGGTAGATAACCTAAAAAATCAAAGATAAAATAACTAAATACAAATCATTCACACACTCACACTCCTATGGTAATCTCCCTTGTTGCCTTCAGAAAATGGTCATGTCCCTCGAACATAGGGATGCCTTAGCAAAGACCCTCGATCAAGTCATCATACAAAAAGATCATAGTCCCTCAATGACCCTTTCGATGTTACCTTTCAGTAAATGATCTAGTCCCTCGAGTTGCCTACGAATAAACGATGACATTCCCTTATGAAAATTGCAAAAGCATCCTTACGAGTTGCCTTCGAAGACCGTGCGATGACCCTCGCCTGTCCCTTCACATCCAACAATAGGATTTCTTACTAGCTAATGGTACGTATAACACTATCTAAAGGAGGAGGAAAAATACAATAATGACCTTGAGTAGGGTAGAACTCATAATCTCTTGCTCACAAAGCTCTTTAAAACAAAAAACATTTCACACGAACACTTTCAAAATATTTTCAAACAAACACTTTATACGCATTCTCGAGGACAAATACGAGAATCATTGCAAAGTTTCACCTTACATTGGCAACCTTTCAAAACATTTTTCAAACACACAACACAAAGCAATTTTCAAAAAGTGAGCTAAGTGATTAAGAGTCTGTAGATAACTACGGATGAAAAGGGAGCTAACAACTTCTCTTTTCATAACATACCCCCTGAACTCAAAATCTATCAAAGGTCTTTCCTGTTCTTTTCACCCTTCCTTATTGGATAAAAGAAAAGTTGGTGACTAATCTTGCTATTCGCAACATTTGCGATAAAACATAAAACCAAGTCAATTCTCCCACTGTATGACACAAGCAAATAGTCGAAAGCAGACGAAATCAATGGAGAGGTGAGGAGCACGCATCGAGCAAGCTTCACCAATAAACAAACAAAGTCAGAAATGATATCCAACTAAGATTAAAGCAAACGCGTGTTGTGAATACAACGCATAATCAGAAGTTCCTGCACAAAGCATCATAAAATATCATATGCATCTGGACAACATATAATACGATATGATATGAATTTCTCAGGACGATGAGAAATAAGGTGTGTCGCATCAGAAGCGAGCATAAGCCATATGCTTCAATCACATAAGTACTTGTTATGTTACATGATCAAAAAACACCAAAATGTACCTTGCACAATGAACAAACGCGTCAAAAATAACGAGGCACAACAATATGAAAATATGGATAAAAACTAAAAGAAAAAAATATTTCTTATTAGTTTTTTTTATGTGCGAAAAAATTCCATTAAAGACTAAAATTAATTCCTAAAATCGATTAAGAAAAACTAACAAATTTTATTGACTTTATATCCCTTTTTATCACTAATTTTCTGTCAAAAATCATGAAAAACAAAATTAAAGAAATATTGCGAGAAAAAATGTTAAGACAAGATAAGAGGGGTGTAATCTGCATACAGAAGGTATAGTCCAGCAATCAGAAGGAGGCACTAAGCCCAATCCATAATCAGTCCACAAGAGCCCCTTTTTTTTGTTCAGCTTTCAACCATTCATTCCAAAGAAAAATATGGCATGGGCCCTAAAAGAGCAATTTGGGTCCACCCACCATCAATAGTCCAATCCTACTCTTTTTTCTATATATGTTCTCAGATTTTTATTTCAGGTATTCTATTAAAAGAAAAAATAACAAAAATAAGATAACAAAAAACAAATTGAAAAGGGAGTAGGGTTTCAAAAGTTTGTGACTCTTCACACTTCTTCGTGAAACTATCTTCTTCTTCTCTGAAGCTTCAACTACGGCGCGATTGGAATCACACTTTCCGATCGGTTCACAGCGTCGATGATAACGCACTGACCTCATTCGCTGTCGACTCCGCCATATACAATTTTCTTCCATTTTTGTTTCACGCATCTCCGCCGTTATCGATCGTTCCTCCGGTTGCAAGCCGTCAATATCACTGCACCGATCAAAGAAACGAACAGTGTAACCCTCCCTTCAATGCTCTGAGCTCCAATTCACTTTCTACTATCCTGAAAAAATGAGATTTTTTTTGGGTGATGAATGGTTTGTATTTCTGTTATAGATGAATGGCTTGGATTGATTCGGTTATGAGTCTGTTATGCTGTTAGAAAACAATTAGGGTAGTTATGTTAAGTAAGGGTGGAAGTTAATTATCTCTATTTAGAAAACAATTAGCACTGTTAGTTGGTTAGTTGGATGGCAGAGATGCAGCAGTTACGAATCGGTTAGAAGTTCTGTTAGTTGAGCGAAATTCTATTTTTCTGTTATAAGCTAAACTGTTTTTGCCTCTTTGTTCTGCTGTTTTCTGTTTTCTGTTTCCTAAGTTCTGATTTAATTCTCTGCAATACTTTCTGTTGATTTTAATTGATAAAAACCTCCCTCCGTTATTTTTGGATGATTGAATTGTGAACTGGTTTGGGTAAACCGAATAGTCATGAGCTGATACTGATGCAGGGTCGCTGTTTGGATTGATTTCGGCTTGAAGTGCAATTTCAGTTCTGGTTTTTAATGTTAATCATTGATTGCAATTTTCCTGTTTTGGTCGTACAAGGCAAGGCTGTATTGATATTAAGAACTGATTTGTGTACTTAGTTCTTATTGAATGCATGATTATCTGAAGGCTACACTTGCGAAATGTTAGGGAACATGAAGCATAGAAATATGAGGGATCAAGCTTGAGAATTTAAGCATGGTTTGTATCAATTCAAGGAAAATCGAGTAGATGACATGAGAGGTTTGGGCATGGAGTTTAGGCTTAGCAATTGATTCATGGACTTTGACTCATTTGTGTATTATTTTTGTATGATGTAATGTTTTGGAAATTTGTAACATGAGATTTACGATGATGTTTTGTATCGGAAACATGCCTTTATAGACTTGTATGAAACATAGTAATTATGGTTTTGTAACGGTTTATGATGAACCTTGATGCAATGTACTTGTAATGTCAATGTAAATAATGACTTTGGAATGATATTGCATTTGAATCTTGTAATAGCTTCGTACTTTGCCCTTGTAATGAACATGTAACTTTTAATGTTTTTGAATGAAGTATTTGTTTTTTCTATGAAACTTCATTTTAACTGGCTTGATGATGTGAAGTTAAAAAATGATCATGTGATGAAACTTGAAGTCTTCCTTGTAAAGAACCTTGAACCTTATGGAAAAGGCCAAACATCTCGAGCAACTTTATCTTTACTTTTACGTCATGTAATTCAAATAATAATTTAAGCTTCTCTTGATGGAAGAAGGTCAATTGGAAACCCTAACTTGTAATGGTCAAAATCTTATCAAAAGATATCCCCCTTGTATGGCATGGTGATGCACCCTTGAATCAAAACTTTAGTGTGTCATGAATACCTCAAGATCCTTTAAAAAACCTGCATTTTACGCAATAATTAAAACCCTCTTGAATGCGGCAAAATTAAGGAAATAAACCTCAACTCCTAGGCACAATAAGACGGTGAACTTGCTCAAAACCCTTGATGCTGAAGAGAAGACCTCATGATGACGGAGAAACAAAACCCTGATGTAAGCGAACTCAATTGAAACCTTTATCTTTGGCCTAGATGAATTTGGATGAAAAAGCCTTGTAGCTTGATGAGGTAGAAATCCACAATAGCTATGAACATAAAACCCTAGCTTCAAACCTTGACTATTGATGAAATATGTTGATTCAAGCTTGAATGAAGGTGAGAGCTTAAAAGCACAAAGAAACCTTGATTCATCAATGTCCTTGGTTCCATGCTAAATTTTATGGTTAATGAATGCATGGTTTTGTTAAATGACCTAATGGAGGGTATATACAATGGTGAGAATGAGATGTATAATGCATAAGCCAGGTAGAAGTGAACGGGTAGGACAAATTTGGGGTATTACAGTTGCCCCTATTTAATCGTCTTAAACCTGAAAGTACGATTGGTGCATGCCTTTTAGACGTTCGAGGTAGGAGATGATTAAATATCAATGCAAAAAAATTATCCTGAGAGAAAGTGTGAGTGTTTATTTATTTTTGTGATATTTACTGGGGAAAGAGTTTTTCTATTTTTCTAGTGAGAAGACAAAGATTGGACTTATAACGTAGCAACAGAGGCTAATACAAGAGAAAGGTTGACTTGTAACGTAGTCTTGTACCCCAAAATTTTCCCTCTCACTTATCAAGAATTTGCTCACAAGATCCCCCTTGACTCAAGACTGCACTAGGGTTTGATCAGCTCAAGACACCTCCTCAAACACTGATGACCAAAACTAGGGTTTGAGTTTGTACAAGGACATTTGAACTTCCAATGCCACATTTAACTTTTATGGATCATTATGGACCCCCAAGGTTGCTCATGCCAAGTTTCAAGCCTTGGATCACATTTTTGCTCAGTCAATTGAGCAATTGACCTAAAAATCAACTGTATTGGTGAAAAAGTCAACCATGGCCAATTTACAGTCAAACTTCATAATTTTTTATCTATACCAACATTTTAAACTTATATGTATCATTTGATCAAGTTTGGACCACAACTCCTCAAGAAATTTGGTCAAATCTCCAAAAGGGCAAAATGGTCAAAATTAGGGTTTTGACTGGGAAAAGGCAATTTTTGATTTTTGACCTAGAAAATGATCAATTGGTTTAAGGAATGATCTCAAGAGCCCAATTGAATCATTTTTGCCTAATGGAATGGTTCAAAACATTTGCAAGTCCATTGGATTGACAGATGAATTTTTCAGTCAACTGATCAAAAGTCATTTATATACTGAAAAGTTAAACTTTGACTTTTTGGTCAAATTCAAGTATCAAAGATCACAATTCATCAAAGCATGTCAAAATATGAAATTTATTCATCAAGAAATCAAAAAGTCAAGATTTCATTTTGAAAAGTCAAAATTTCTAAACTTAGAAATTTTTCTAAGTGTTGGAAATTTCATATTTTTTCATTACTTTGAGCCAAATTTTCACCATGATGCAAGATGATTCAAGAGAAACTTCCAACATGAAAGTTGTAGATATCCATGAAATCTACAACTTTTATTTACACAACTCCTTCCAAAAGTGCTTGGATCTCAAGTTTTAATTTTATGAACATGTGGTCATGAAACTAAACACTTAGTGAAATTTTGCCCTAATTTGGCCAGGATTTTGACCTAACTTCATGACACTTTTTCATATTGTTCCAAGGGTAATATTCAAAATCAATTCAAATATGGGTTGTATAGAACATTGCAAGCTTTCCAAAATGTCCAAGAACTCCTTGAAATCATTCTTGAGTAGGGAGAATCGAAGAGATGAAGTTAGGGTTTTATCACTTGAATTACAAGTCATTTTTGATGAACACATGAACCAAATCCATGCTAGGCTGCATAATCTTTGCTTTTCAGGCCTCAAACTTGTTTGTCACTCCATAATTAAATATTTACACAACTGTTAGGGCTTTGATCCAAGCAATTAAGCTATTATCCAAGTTGCATTTCCATTAATGGCACAAAGTTAACATTGGCATTCTTATAAAGCAAGCTTTTTGCATAAAGTTCACATTGAGCCTCTAACTTGTTCCCTCTGATTACAATCCATCCACAAAGTCAGAAGCAAGCTTGTTTAAAGCATAACCACTCTATCTTAGCAAGTACACAAGACTTTGAAACTTGAATTTCTCAAAAATCACATGTTATGCATAAACTTGTGATTTTGAATTTTGATCAACAAGAGGTCTCCAAACTTGTTGCATATAAATAGAGTCACTATTTGTGAGCTAGAACACGAGCTTGAGCACCCTGAAATACACCAAAACTCTCTCAAATCATAAATTACCCCAAAACTCCATTGTTGCACAGTTTCTGACCTTGAACATCAAACTCACATTTCCTTCGTGCGTTTCTTGGCCTTTTAGTTTCTAAAGCTTCCTTACATCAAGTGTAACTTATCCCTGTACCTGTTTCATTTCTGTAACATCATTTATCCCATCTTCCATAACCAAAAACAGAGTATTGCACATTCACTTCTCCAAGTCATTTCAGCCACTCTCAACTCAAGCAAACCATTGCATTAGCTTCCTCGGACCTCAAGGAAGCTAACCTGATCATCACCATCACTTGAAACAAGCTCAAACTCCAAACACGATTTCCAGTTTTGAGGCAAGTTTTCTCAACTTGGAACTCTTCATAAAGGCATCATCAATAGTTTATTTGTGAATAAAACATGTAGTTATCATTGCCCTGAGGCTAACCATGTCCTTAGTTTCCATTAATTTTGCTTGAGCTTAGAGAATTTTGAAACTGAAATTTCTGAAATTTTTAGGGTTCAGATTAGGGCCATTAAAATCTTGCTTATATTTGATCTATAGTTTTAATACTTTACATTTCTGGAATCGTGAGAAAATTTGCTACAAGTTTCATATTTACAATTTTCATTTTTGATGAGAAATGAGCAAGTTACATATCCTTTGGCTGAAGGTTAAAGATGGAGTCTTCAGAACACGTTTTGCCTTACATATTTATTGTTTCATTTGTATTAACGGATGTATAGCCACCTCAGTGGTAGAAGCGCGCGTCTGTAACCTATGGGATCTGGATTCGAACTCCAGTGGTACCCTTTTCATTTTTCACATTTTCATTTTCTGATTTTTGTTAGTTTTTGGCAGGCGCTGGGCCCTTTAGGCCTGACTTGTTATTATTTTTGCTTACTAACCTCCCTATTGACTAATGGCACCCCTGACCCAAGTTTGTTTATTTTTTTATTTATTTCATTTTTATTTTCTTAAATATATTTTCTAAATACTAAAAAAATCATAAAATACAAAAAAAAATGATATATTTATATTTTGACTTAATTTATTTTATTTTTCTCACAAAAATATTTTTATTAATTATACTTTATTATTATTTTTACTTATTATCTTGTAAATATAAATAAAATTATGTTATTAGTTATTTTCTTTCATACTAATTTAAATGCATTATTTTTTATATAAAAAAAAGGACTAAAAATAAATTATAATGCTATAAATATTTTCAAGATAAAAAATATCAAAAACACTTTTCTTAAAATTATTTTCTTTTGATTAATTAATAGAACTAGGTTTTCATTTAAAAAAATTTCTTAATAAATTCATACTTAATTAACTATTTTCTTTATTTAATTAGGTTAAGACAAAATCTTTTTTTCATGAAAATTAAACAAAATTCATTTTCTCTACATTTTGCATCCTTGTACATTTGTTCATTTTTATACTTTGTATTTATTCAATTCCTTGTATATTCATATCAAGTCAATATAGTTGTAGTAGACTAATTAGATTTAAATTCTTGTAATCCCCATTTACAAATTGTACACCCCCTCCCCACAAATATTGTAATAGCGTAGTAACTTTAAATTTCACAATTTATCGCTTTTATATAACATGCTAGTAATTAGGGTTTGTATGGAAAGACTATAACCAATATTCAGAAAACCCTAATTCAAGACAAAACCAAGCATGAAAACAATACACTTACACAC